TTTTGAGTGATTTCAGTACCATTTCAACATGTCCAAGTGCTTCAGGATGATGGTTGTTTCGATTTCCAGTGCTTCGTCATGGTGGGGCTCCTAAACCCACATCCTCACGTTCGGCACCCACACCAACCACGAAACCGAAACAGAGGTAGTTGGAGCCCTAGGGTCACTTCGACACAAAAGCAAGCTTGTTTCTGGCACTTTGACACAACTCCAACATTTCAGAAAAAAGCCCTGCAAACGGAATCGGAGGGCCCTCTCCCAGTCAGTGCAACATGATGTGCAAAGAAAGTACTTCCATGAGGTGGAGCCTCTGCCATTCCCATTTCCAGCAGCTTGTTATGGATTAGCAACCAGCAACCAGCAACAGCACACCAGCAACACCCTGCTGCAAAGGGCAACAAAATCACTCTTGCTTTGGCGGGTAAAACATGAAAAACACATCAGTGTTTCGTTCAAATGCAAGCAGTATAGTATAGCTTCAGCCCAAAGTGAATGGAACAAAGAACTTGAGAGCTCAACAGGATCAACAGGGCCTGTTGAATGTGGGTTTGCACATCTCCAAGTGCTTGGTTGGAGATACCAAACGTGACGCTTTGGACAGCTTCCTGTCTGAAGGCAAGGACCCCCAAACGATTCTGAGCATGACCAGCATGACAGCCCCATGATTGTCAAAACTCTGTCTGTCACTACTACAAATCCGAATTGCTGGGATGCAGGCGCGTGGTCATGTTCCCATAGGATATTGCTCTCCTCCAGTGGAAGTGGCAGCAAATGAGCCTCGTGCTGCTTGGCTCTGGAAAATGGTGGAGACACATGGGATGTCCAAATACTTGCGTATCCTTTTGGACATCCTTGCTGTCTGGAGTATTTGAGAACCACCCCGGTTGGGTGGAATATTGAATCTGAACAACGACTAGAGCAATCCTCCAGTAGTCCACCCTGTCGTGATTTCTGGGCCCTCTCTAGCTGTCGACTACCAAATAACAACTATTACCTAAACCATCCGAAACCTCTTTCCTCTTGCGCTCGCCAAAGACAAGTTGTCTGCGACCGCCTTGCAGTCTATTACCTATATATATATATACATCCTATACCAAACAAACATCGCTGCGGTCACCACAGTGGAAGACCACGCCATCGTGCGTCGTGCGGCCTAAAAAAAAGAGGGCTGAGGGCTTCTCAGGGTCGACCGTAGCCTTGTCCACCCGAGACTCAACAACCAAACGTCACAAACACCCGGTGATTGGAGTCTGAGAGCGCCATGAAACATGGAACCTCCCATGCGCCATGACTCACTTCAGGAGTCTGAAAGCACTTCAGGAGTCTGAAAGCACTTCATCCCAGAGTATCTTTGATGACTAAATGCCTTTGGTATCATGGACGGTTACGTTGCACCAGGACACCCACCTCATACCAAGGAACATGAACGTCACCAGGTGTTGACTGTGAAAATTCTGATCTGGATGTTCATCGGTGTCATCGGTGTCACACCGAACGCGCCTGATCCAGAATGAAGCGCGCACACTCGCTGCTCCAGCTGGGCTCATCAAAGCCCGACTGCGATGACAACAGGGTCTTTGATCTGCTTCTCAGCAATGCATCCATTAAAACAAATCCCAGGTCCGATTCTTGGAACTCTTGAACCAAACCACAACAAGAGACGAAGAATGGCCTTTATATTACTAGCCATGGCCTCCTCCCTACTAGCGAAAGGATCCCTTTTGTCCGCAACTCGAAACCGAAACTCGACGCGGCGTTCGCCTCTCGGGCCAAGGGCACCGCCTCGGCCACCGGTCCGCAAGCTGAAGAAGCTCACGTGAGTGTAGACTAGAGGGTCAAGTGAAGGATGAGGTTTTGGTCCACCTGGGACCTGAACTCTTTGTCAAAGACCCTGGCAATAACAGTTAGTCAGTGGCAGTTCGAAACTGGCCCCGCAAGCGGCTCCGCGGCTCCGCACCTCGTGACGCTTCAAGAGGCGCAAGACGTCATGACCTTGAATCGGCGAATCAGCTCATCACATGAGACTTCTGGAGTTAGCTATGGGAATAATGAGATATACCAACACCTGACAAATAGGCCAAATAGATGGACTTAGAGGTTTTTATACGACAAGCACAGGAATGATGGACATCACCGTCTCGTATTCAACCAAGCGAAAACAAATGCCAGAAAAACAAGCGTTCATGTATATGTCATAAGTTTTGGAACTTAGTTTTGCTTGAGGGGGCTCTGGACCTGGGATATGTGCTAAAGAATGAGGTGTTCAGTTTCAGACATATACATATATATATACACTAAGCTGCCGGAAGACAGAATACGCTTTGTGTCATTTAAATGCACTTAGAATAGTAAGCTGCCGGAATCTGGAGCATACGATTGAATCTCGAAAGCTATTTAAATCATATTCTAACTGTTAGCAGGCTATATAGTATGTATATATATATATATATGTCAATATGATTGCTACAACAATATCTACACTCTTCATCTGATATTGTGCATTTTCTCATTTTGTTGAGCATTTGCCGGGAACCACCTCCTCATATCAACTTCTTGTTCACAAACTATATACTTCCAATATGTTCCAGCCTCTCAAATCGAAACTTGTACCAAGGTCCACTGCAAAGAATTCAGAAAAGTAAAGTCATCAATATCAAGTATTACTGGCCACCAATATGTGAAGCACACCGCTTGTGAATGATGGCGGGGGAAAAAAGAAGGAACACACATAAGAAACAAACTGGTCCACTTCGCGTTGAGGTTGTCTGAACGAATTGCCTGACGAGTTATCACTTTTCATGAGCATGGACATTGGACACACACCAGGTTTCTCAGTAGTTCAGGGCTTCTCGGACCACTTGCAGAGCAGAAAAAAGGAGGACCTGAACCGTCCGACGGATTTGTTCCCCGAACCCGTCCTGGTCGCCTTCCCAATGGTCCACAGCCCAGAGGCGAAAGAAGACCATCTCTCGACTGAGGTGTCGAATCTGGCGGTGTCGAAGACCCCCGGTGGGTCACCGATTGATTGTGTCCGACCGAACCTCGGGTTGGGTACGACTGGACCCTCCAGGCACCTACGAAACAGTGTCGAACACATCACCTGAGAGAAGGTACGACTGGATCCCTAGGGATAAACACACAATCCGTTGTTTAGTGTCTGTCGTCTCCATGGTCTCCAAAGGGAGTCCGAGCAGAATCTGCCATTCCATTGGTGGTGAGCTTTGTAGTACACTTGGCACAATCCAAAAGATGTCTTTTGTATGGGTTCATGTACACCACAAACATTGGGGGTTGTGCCATCTACTCTGAAACCACTGTAAGGGATGGTAAGAAAAACGTCTTTCAGCGTGATAGAAACCTTTGAACTGAAATGGCTGAAACCTCTTGAGGTCATGCATGGCCTCAAACAGTCATATCGCACTTGGGACTGGGGGTGGCCTGGGGTCTCAAAGCACCCTGAGTCTCAGAAACAACAAGAAAATGTGGCAATGTTTTCAGCATCCACTGAATGCAGCTTATGTATCCAACTCTTTCCAGAAACTGGGAATAGTAAGCTTGTGGTTGTTTGTTAAAAGAACTTGCGGCCAATCGGCCAATCTCGTCTGATGTTGTCAGCAATGACCACACAAGTCATGGAGAGAATCCCACCATACTTCCTGAAAGATTCAAATCTGAGAAACACCCGGAGGAAAAAAATGAAAAACAAAAACATTACCTACATGACCTTAGACCTTGCTGGAAACAAAGGTACACTGCTCTGCTGCTCAGCTTCCAGCTACACTGGGGATCCGCACGTGACACGGATTTGTTGCCATCACCTCGGGCACCGCGAATCCGGGGGCAGAAAGGGGTGTCCGGTGTCTTCCGGTGTCTTCCGTGTCTTCCGAGAGGAAAACGCTCCGTCCATGGTGGTGGAGCTTGATTTCCAAAGGAATATCGGAGGCAACTGCTGGAAGGGATTGGGGAAATGGAAAAAAAGAACAACAAGCTCTTGCATTAACGGAAAATCGTGGGGTTTACCACCTAATTCCCAATACCAGAGATTGACTGTGCAATAAGTTTAACAGTTTAACAAAACACTGCAAAACAGAGTCTACCGAGCTATGGGTGTGAATCCCAAATTATATAATATAGTTAGGTATAAAGAAACACACATGAACAACGATGCCAGTCTATGTCATGCGCGTGTTGCTTTCATGTTGGCCCTAAAGATGGATAATACAGGACTTGTTCTGTTGGTGGGTGTACTTTATTTCTTTTGGCATACTATGGGAGGATCACATACTGAATGTCCAAACATGTCCAAACTGCTCTCACATGTGGTGTTTGGATGTGTTTGGTCTTCACTGTATTTGTGTACAGCTGTTCCTTTTTGCAACCCTTGGGGACAAGCTCCTTCTTGGATTTGATCGCAGGTGTTAGGCCCACGGCAGTAGACAAACATTGACACAAATGGTGTCTCGTTCTGGTACTATTCATCGCACAACACTGCTCTGAGGGAACCATGAACCTCAGGAAACTACATTGGTAAACAAGTCAAACAATAAGCAAGTTTGGTGCTATGGCGAACAAACAACGACTTGCCTGAAGCCCGAGCCCGACCGTGGGACTGTTAGACCCTCTGCAAAGTGCACCCTTTGGGACCTTCATCAGCAGTCATTCCTTGACCCTCAGATCAAAGAAGCATGCACTGAATTGGCAAGGCACTGCGGTACCGTTGCATTAAACACTCACAGCTTCAGGCCTGATTCAGGACGGAGTTTCGGTTAGTTCATTTGTTGTTTCTATTGATGTTGGCAAGACGTACTGTCGCGGGGAGGTGCAATACCCTGCTTCAGACGTCGCCAGACCATGTGGTGGTGCTCGACTCTAGGGGTGCGTGTTGGAGATGTTTCAATTGATGGTGGCCGGCGAAACGATCTTTTGATGATTGGTCAAGCAGTCACATAACTTCATGACAAATTAACAACACATAATAATTAAAACGCTTGAAGCTCTGTGTCATGGCCAAAAGGCTCTAGCATGCGCACCTGTCAGACCGTCGGCGTCTCAAATTTTGATGAGGGATCATGCAGGCTGCGAAGCTGCAGCGGCCGCAAAGCTTAGCCCAAATAGCCGAGCCAAATGCCCAAATCAGAAACAAACCTCAAACAGATCCTGCCAAAGGAAGAGCAACAAGTCACTATTAATAAGATGATGGTCGATATATGTTTTATGTATCTATTTAGGTTTGGAGTACTGACTGACATCACATGTTCCAATATATCGCAAGATCTTAATACCGGAACCAAATTAAATAACCAGCAATAAACATGTCCAAATCCAGACAAAGAAAACCATAACTCTGCAAACATCGAGTTCACTGGGGTATAGCAACCACCTTCTGGCCATGGGTTTCCAGGTCGACAAGTTCTTCAGGGCACGTGTAGCCCCAAATTCCTCGTTCGTACCCGCAAGGGGCGGTGACCCTAAACCCTCCAATCAACCAGTATCTCCAACCCAAGTTGGGTTAGAGCTGCCCAAGTTGAGTGTTTCATCTGAAAGCTCCAGTCCCTTCGGTTCTCAAATCCCAGACTGCCTCATTGTGTCTACTGGTGTCTCTGGTTGCTAAGAAAGATGAAAACGACACTGTTTGAAGGATCCCGAATCAATGTACCGGAAAGAAGTCGTTCAGCCAACTTGAACTGGCCGTTCAGCGGGTCGTTTCCCGACCTCGTCGCATGGCCCGTCGCATGGCCCCTCTGGTCTTCAGCGGTGCTCTCAGTGGGGGGCGCTGAAGCGGCGGTGCACTGCAGAGCGCTGCGCGTGGACGCGCTTGGCACGTTCGCAGGCGACCTCCGCGATGCGCTGTCTGTCCAAGGCCTTGGAAAAAAAAGACACAAAACAAACAGAGTGGTGGAAATCAAAGAGCCTCACAAGGGATGTCTTTAAACTCGGACTTGGAGAGCATTTCTTGGACAGTTTCAATCGACTTTCTTCAGCTTCAACGGTCGAAGCCCACGGTACTTATCTTGAGTTTAGCGATGAGAAAACATGTGTCTCAACCCCTGCAGGGCCCCACTAGCTTTGGGGTGATCTGTGTGGGAACTTCCTGCCCTTCAAGGCACGTTCACCAAGCGCAGGTGCTTCTCTGAACGAGATAAGGGCCAATCCAGCACCACAGTGGACCTCGATTTGGCTGAGAATGGTTGGAGTGTAGCTGGAGCGATTAAGACAACCTAAAATACAGTAGTATCTTTTGGATGCTGTTCATATTTTTTTGTGGCATCCACACATTTGTTCTTCAGCCACCATTTGAGCCAAAGGGAAGGATCTATGGCGCATACAGCTCAAATAATTGACTCTGTCTGCCCATCCCTGATATGTAGTCCTCCATTTAAGCTCTTGAGCCCAGATGCCCAAAGGGTTCCTCCTCGCTGCTGGAACTCTCGAACGATGGACATCGAGTCTCCTGGTGTCCAAATCGAGAAGAAACTTCAAAAGCCAGGGGCCGGCCAAGGGCTGCCTGAAGAAAACAACACAAAATCAGTAATTTGTTATTATTGTTATATAACTATGTTGTCAAAGCCCGAGGGAGGTAGGCCGCTAGTAGAGGGAAAAGGTAAGTTAGCTAGAGATAGGTAGCTGGTAGAAGGCTACAAGAATGCTACTACATATGGACGCAGGGTTGCTCACGCTTCTTCAAGGAAGCTCCCCGCCTGAGCGGTTCCTTTGGGGAAGCTTAAGGTTTGCCTTTGAAAGCTGTGGAAGAAATCCAGGGTGAAGCAGGGCATGTTGAATGAAACCGATAGAACTTGCCAATGGCTCCTCCACTTGTACAGCGCGTTCCCTTTCCTGCAGCCGTGCCTGTGCCAGGTCTAGGTCCGGAACGCCTATCTGTCCCAAATGGTCCAAGTCGCGGTGTTTGGAACACACTCCGACCCTTCTTTGGGTCTTTTGGTGGAGGGTCCTGGTCGCCTGGTAGGCTTTTGGACACCTACATACGATGAACTGCAAACACTTTACACATTTGTAGTCAAAGGTGCATGACACAGAATGACAGAATGAGTCTGAAACAAACAGTCCATGGGTGAGCCAGCCTCTCGGCTGGCAAGCTCTGTCTCTTTTTGACCTCAGTGCTGTCAGTGCAACGCAAGAATTTACCCGTTTACAAATGGATGTGCGATGTATGTTTATAGGGAGAGTCCCCAACGGGCGGTCGGTGCTCCCATAGAAGGAGGGTCTTTCGGAGTTCTCCCTATGTCAATACACACCCAAGTACATTGCCACACACGTGCCACAGCCACACCCAAATGTTTGACATTTGATAGGCCTCGCCTCACCACCAGTTATGTTTGTCACAGCACAATGCTACTGCTACGGGGCTCATTACCACATATTACCACATGGTTTTACAATGGTTGTGCAAACAAGGGATCAACAAAGGTCGACCAAAATCAAGTTCGACACCAAAATTCTTGCAGTCCGTGCACATGCTGCGGCTTGCTTGGTGGTATTCCGGCTTGAACTTGCCATCGCATAGAACTTGCTACTGTATCGCCTGTATCGCACAAAACACCTGCATAAATGCTCCTGACCCATGTGAGTACTCGACAAATCTCTGTTGGTAGGAACTGATTGGGGAACTTCTCTCTGTGGCCCCTGAAATCAGCCCCGAAATGAACCAGAGGGGCCTGGCACCCATTTCAATTGCTCCAATCTTCATGAGGCCGAGCAATGGCCCGAGGTGTGTTCGTTCACTGAGGCGAAAGCACTGGCAGGTCACCGACGGGGTCGAACAGAAGATCACCAGTGACACCCAACGACCCCGACAGAACCGAAAGTGGGACGCTTCAGCCGGACTCGACACCCCCCACTCGGCACCCCGAGTCAGAGGGGGGGGCCGAGTTAGCCAAGCACTTTGCACTTGGGCCACACATCACCGCGCTATGCGTGAATACTATGCGGATAGTGTGTCGATCCCGATTATCTTTGCACAATGCTCTGGACTCCGACGCCGATGTGCAAAGGGCATGCATGCACAACAACAACAACAGTAACCCCCGTTGGGGGGGCCCCGCTCATCCCCCTGCTGCATTGACTACGAGTACCACCATACCACCAGCAAGTGCAAAAAGTTGCCAAAGAACAACTGCAGGTGTGGCCTTTTTCGTTGGTTTTCTCTTGGATGCGGATGCTCCCTCACCCGCTGTGTTCCCAGGTCCCCGTCCGAGCTACTGAGTTGAAGCTCTCGCAGGGAACCCACCGAGCTGCGTTCCTTTTTGGCCTTTGCTTGGCGAAGCCTGGCCAAACAAAAGAGAACGAAGAAAACATCGAAACACGGCCTGTGCCAAAGGCTTCATCATGGAAGGCTTTTCAAGGGTCCTAATTGATTATATGATATGATGTGATATGTGATATACGATGTGTGACTACATGCTATGTTTGCAAAATTGCAGGGCGAACGCAAGTGGAATTGTATATGAAGAACAACATTCAAGACTTCTAGAGAGAGCAAGCTAGGTTCTGTTCTGTGGGCTTTTTTCCAGTCCCTCGATAGTGCGCTTATCTTGTTGTGACGGTTCCACGACGAGCTGGCCCGTGAAAACTTGTACCACGTCTAACATCGCTAGCAGTCACGGAAGCTATACACCCAGGAAGATTACGTAACATGGAACCTGAAAATGGAGCTTTGAAATACTTTTACTCTACAAACCGGGCATGTGTAACCAGGTTCCGGTCTGTTGGAACGGACGTCCATCGAACACGTACAGACCGCTGAAACTTGGGACATACGAGTTCCCGCAGACCCGAAAATGACCCTGTACAATGTCATGTTTGCATGTCATTGCGTATTTTCAGTCCCAGGGACAAGGCATAAAGAGCATCTCTGCAATGTCGATCACGCAGGCGGACCCAGGACACTTCGCGCCCACCTTACCATGGCCGCAGGACCCTCGAGCACTTGTGCGTTTCCATCCGGGGAGTCGTGACCGTCGCTCCAAACCCCAGCTGTCCGACAGGCCGGGACCCGTTCTTTGAGAGACGATCAATGAGAGCGCATCTTGGAGACATGGCAACTTGCTGACGCCATCTTTGTAAGGTCTTCTTAACGCGGAGTCAACATCGACGGGAGTCAACTAAGTTGTTGGCGGAAGAAATCCTACACCGAAGGTAATTTAACATGAAAGAAACAACAACTGTGAGCCTTGCATAGAATCGAAGGGATTCTCCTAGCCCCCAATCGACTAAGGGGTTACCTAAGTACCAGGTAGTGAACCCAAGAGCTTTTGGGACTGACCGTGTAATCCAATTGCGCTGTCTGCTCGTGAAAAGACTCTTGGAAATGACCTGAATGCCGAGATGCACCGAGTAGTAGTGATTTCAGAGTAGATGGCGCAAGTTACCCCAATGTCGGTGGCTTATATGGACCCCCAAAAAAACGTCTTGGGGTCGGGACCCATCTACTCTGAAACCACTGGCAGTTGATCTTCTGTACGAAGAGTGTGGACTTGTGCGGGTGATATTACATTCACCAACCAGAAAGCAAGGAGCGCCCATTGAGGTAGTGTCCTAGCGGACGAGGGTCCTGCTCTGTATCTTCGACCATCCAAGACCTTAGTGGAGCCTTCAAACTCATAGACTCATAGTCATAGTCTCGAATGACACCACTCACCACCACCATCTTGAACTTCTGGGATGTGCACTTGAGGCCTTGACACCAGCTGATCTGCAGTCCTCTTTGTAGAATTCCGACTTGTCCTACTGACTACCATCACTGACTCACTTGATCGCTTCAAGGATCAATTTCCAAAGCATCGTCCTTTCCGCACTGAACGGACGAACGGAGTGAAGCCAAGGCAAGGTGCAGCACCAAAGGGTCACATGGAAGCCACGGTTGTCGTGGACTGCATCCTGGAAACACGCATCTTCCGGATCGCAAGCAAGCATTGAAGAGAAACTCTGGAACCGTAGATAGGTGTTATGTCCGAGTTTGCCATGGTATTCCGTATGGAGCCGATAGGCTAGGGAAACCCTTTGCTCGCGGGGTGCGCGGATATCCAGAACTGCATCGAGGAACTGCAATAGATGGTGGGAATTCCCAATGCTGCTGCTAGCTATTCTTACCCACACTGCCTCGGGAAAATACAATAGGGATGTGCAAGTGCAAGGAAGAAAAATGGTCCCGAACCCGTGAAATATATGGCACAATGCAACATCTCAAAAAAAAAATCGAGAAAACTCATGGCTCCTCATGGCTCGGCAACCATCACACCCCTCTTGTCCCGTTTCCAGGCTTCAATCGCCCTTATGGCAACCTATTAACATGTCTAAAAACACAAAAACTGGAAAACAACCATGGAACACATTAGAAAAAATAACACTTTTCTGGAAATAAAACACATAACTAAAAAAAAACAACAACAAAAACACACAAAAGAAAAAGAAAACACATTCCTCGTCACTCGTGGAACGACTCTTCGACTCTTCGACTCCTCACCGCGTTCGGACCCGACCGTCCTCCAAGCGGTCGAAGAGCACCACGGACCGAGGTACTGCCTCCGGGCGGCAGTCGCTCACATCCTGGAAGATCGGTAGATCTCGGTGGAAAACCGGTGGTGTCTCAAAATTGACAGCGTGGTTCTCTTTCTTTCTGGGTGGTCACATATTATAAGTATTATATGATGATATACAAATATAGATACAATAATATGTAAAGTAGCTTTGCATGTGTTCTTTCAATCTAGCATAATCTAGCAAAAGGACCCAAACCATTTGCTTGGCACATGTGTGTTCAGTTCGCATTTGCTTGGTTTTGCCGTTGGTTCCATGTTAGCACTCAGCATCAAAACGCGACAACTTGCAATCAAAGCTTACGGGGCTTAGCGGGGTCGGGTCATCGCCTGGACGTGGAACAACGCTGGGATTTGTTCATCAAAGAACATAAGATGACGCTGGGCATCAGAAGTACCATTTGATATGTTGAATGAACATCATACCCCATTGCACCGGCAGAATGGGGTAGGTGCACAAATTGAATAAACTACATCAGGCTTCCTCGAAAACGACTACTTTCCAATGCAAGGTTCATTTGAGACACCAGGACACCGGTTCCTCGGAATCTCTGAGTTGGGTTCTTCACCGACCTCGGTTCACCCCGTCTTCGTCACCGACCTTGTCATAGCAAATCATCATGAGGTCTGCGTCCAAACCTCGTGACATCGAAAGGGAAAACATGGGAACACGAACACCCTAGAGGCCCTGGAAACATTGAGCTGCAGGTTGGTTTTCCTAGTCGAACCATGAAAGAGCATGTCGAACCAGGAGATGACATGGATGACATGTGCTCTGTCTCAACATGGAGATGTTTGGCAACCCAAAGAAAGCATGCTAGTTGCTAGCGCAAAGGGACCGCATGCTTGCGTTGTATGAACATCCTTATATCGCTTAATATATATATATATACATACTCCTGGGATTTCTCATGTGGTTTAACGATTCAGCCAATGCCTGCCTCCCGAGCGAGAAACACAGGGATAAGAACTCCCACTGGACGCCAATCTGACAAGTAGCTGGGGCTCGCAGCTTGAAAGTCGCAAAAGCGCGGCCTCCAAATCCCCCATTCCACCGGCAGTATCCAGCGTGCCTCAGCTAGGTGATGATCAACACTTGGGGCATTAACTAGCCAATCAAGAAACATCATGGGCGCCCGAGTTACAGCTACAAATGGGTATAGAAAACCTGAAGTAGATTGACCGTGACATGGGAGCGGATCGTGCGGCTGTCGTAATATCCAAACATAGAAAATAGATCACACGAAAATGACAGGATGATATTGATGCGAAAATGACAGCCATATTGCAATCTATATAGTATTCATTCATGAATGTGTGTCGATCCTTTGGGTATACATATAAATATTATGTATATATATATAAATATATTTCCGGAGACCTTAAACGTTCGTCCTGGACTCCCAAACACCCCCAAGGTTGGTCGCTCAATGAGTAAACCCAAAGAACAAAGAAATCACACATCCATTGGGCTGATGCCGACCCCGCAGACTTTAAAGAAAACAACGGCCAAACCCTTCAAAGTAAACATTTTGGGCTGCATGACCTCACCATCTCCGTTGAACTCCGGGTGCTTTTCAGCTTTCACTTGCTTGATGTGTGTATGGAGAGCTCCTGATTCAGAAGTGGAGAGTTCTACCCGCCCAGTTGCATGACAACGCACATCAACCCACCAGCTGTGCTTCATGGCGTGGAGAGCAGACTGCCAGCGATGGAGATGGAGACTGCCAGATCTCATGTCCCTTGTTGATGAGATGTGTCCGAATCATGGTCCTTGTTGGTGCGAAGTACCGTCATTTTCTGCGAAGTACCGTGGACATGGGGAAAAGTTCACATGTTTTTTTGTCTTTAAGTACACAAGGTCTCTAAATTAAAGGTCTTTGTTCAAACCTTCTTCCTCAAAACAGGTGATGAAGACCCTGGAGCTCTCGGTGGCCCTTGCCACAACTTGGAGCCAAATCGAGAGTGCGCAAAAGGTTCTCCCTCGTTGCTTTAAACTAAAGGAAGGGTTGATATATAATATATAGTTGATGACTCAAATAAACTTGATTAACTTACGACATTTGCACATCACCGTAAATGATCAAAGCACAAAGGTGTCCGTGCTCATCAAGAATATCAAACCATTGAATGCAAAGATGTGGAGCACTTGCTGGCACACCCTACCCTCTTGCAAAAAGGCTTCACACATGATAAGCCAATGGCCGCTCAAAAGTACATCCCTTTTCAACAACCACCACATCGAACGAAGCTGAAAAATGCTTCAATTCAATTAACAGATCATACCCTCAGAGACCCTGGTCATCCCCAGCCTTTGGGGGGGGCATGGGGCCGTCCATATTTTGTTGTATTACTCTTGCCAACGAAAAGTTAGCTAGCCTCGCAACCACAGACTGATCTCACAATCAATCTATGTCTACTACATCTACTACACAACATCACATAGACATAGACATGTCTACGCAACTCACAATCAATCAAAATACTCCTTGAACACCAACATCACCAGTAGTTTAGTCCTGTGAACGGTGGTGTTCCGTCTCGGACGTATCACGGCATTGTGAGAAGAAGCGACTTGGCAAGCTTCGCCTTCTCGACTTCATGAGTTGTCTCGAAGCTGCACAGAAAATCCATCCAGCAGTCCAAACATCCTCCCTGCAAACCCTCCGTTTGGTCACGTTCATGTCACTGGATCTGCCGTCCCCGTCCACCGTTTGGGCTTTCCGACAGCGCCAGGAATGTCCACGGCCAAATTGGCGGTGAGATAGTCCGGCAACGGCGCCTTGGGCCTCGAAACAACGAATGGGCCACCAAGATCGCGAGAGCCTTTGTGGCCCAGTGGTCATGGCACCCAGTTGAGTATTCATCGAGTATTCATATTACATAGTCACACACCCAACAAAAAGTGCATTGTAGCATATTGTAGCTGTATTGCTTTGGGCAGGTTAGTTGATGCGGACATACTCTTGATATATTATAACTATATATAGTATAATATTATGTCATGCGTTTCAGATCACAATGACGGTGGGGTGTGGTGACCCTGATTGTTTGACCACCAACCTCTGATCTATCTTCTCTTGGGACAAGGCAAGGTCTGAGGCCCTGGATCACGAGGGCCAGGGATGAAGACAAAGCCTCGATGCCGGTGCTGAAGGCGGTCAAACAAATGCAGTCAGGTCGGCATTTGACATGAACCCCAAAGAGGTGGTACAAACTACTAGAGTTACTAGTTACTAGAGGTGATTTTAAGTTGGAAACATTACCTTGCCATACCTTGCCTCAGTCTCTCTCTCTCTCTCTCTCGACACACACACAGACACACGCTTGAAGCCCCTATACCTATTGGGTAATGACCACGGGGAGTGAGTTTGTTTTGGGGCAAAGGGGTGTCTAAGACTTTGGGTCTCATTTTGGTGTTCCCTCGACGGGTGAAGGATCATACATAAGAATAGCATTATCAATTACAGTATCAAACAGATCGACAGCTATTGAAAAGAAACACAAGGATCAAAAACAATCCCAGTGAGCAATCAAAGGAAACAATGAATAGGGAAGTGACAACAGCAGCAGGGCGGGCGACAAGAGAATCAGATCAGGCAGTCCCCCGTAGAACAAACCAAAGCACAAAGAAAACAAAAGAACAACAGGATAGAAATGTTGGGACACAGCAAAGGCCGGTCCTATCACCCACCAAAGGACAATGAAAGGGTATTTGTTTGCAACACATAATAATCGAACCAATTTTCTGGTGCTGGAGGGGGTTGGGGCTAGGGCGTGGCTGCTAGAGCCAACCAAACATCAAAAGCCACCAGACTCGGAAGGTTTGTAGATCAACACCTCAAACTACACACCCCATGGTACCCTGAAAGTGACACACCAAGGCAACAGGTAGCTTTGTTATAGTTTTGCAAAGGTCGCGTCAAATTCGCATAGATATGCATAGATGAATTTTGCAAACCTCCTGCTTTCCACTTAAAAACATGTTCTGCAGAGTACTGAGTAGTGGTTCCCCTTTTGACACAGTGGTCCAAAGGAACTGGACGGCACCCCACTCGTTGAGGTGTCCGAGTCGCGAGTGCCGTGCATCACGTGGGCCTCCAAATTTCGCCTCAACGGACGGTGGGCCCGAGGAACGTGTTCGCCGGACGTGTGGTTGTGGATGATCCAACAGAGGTTGAAGAACCCTATAGGCTATCCCATAGGTACCCTGGTATGGTCCTATAAGGTCACTTAACCTCTGTTGGATTGTACAACGTGTTCACTTGCGAAACTTGCTACCCAATAGTCATTAGGTCAACCCCAAAGCGAGTCAAGCATGGTCAAGCAGTGAGCTCGTAGTTGGGAAATTGTGAGGGCGAACGGCGAACATTTTGTTTCATTGAGGCTTTGACCACCCAACAAACAAACAAATCCGCAAACAGGACCAAACAGAGTTCCTGAACATTGAATATGTCTTGGCGCCACTGGCACCTTTGATATCAGGCAAAGAAGGACCGTCGTGGGGCTACATGAAGAGCAACACATTTCGGGAGATGGTCGCTGCTGCTGAGGAGCGTGGAGAAGCAAAAGGCCAAACATCGCCGCGCCCGATGCACGATTTCTGGGCAAGTGCGGGGTTATATACGAACAGGCAAGCCAAAGGCAAACAGGGAGCATTGCTCAGTGCGGTTGCGCAGCAAGCCCAGCAAACACTGCCTATCACTACTCAGTTCTTCTTCACAGCAAGATTCTGCGGTCACGTCCATTGCCTTGCACTCCAATGATCGTGGGGCGCCTTTGGAGCTGTACTCTGATCAAAGCGCTGGGGGCCTCCTCAGAGTGGACCGTGCACACCTTCGGGTCTTAGGGCGGAAGCCTCACGCATTCGGCTTGAGAGGCTGCGGCTGGAGGCGCCAAGGACATGCTCTGATTCCAACGAACGACGCATGGGACGTTTCTGAGAACGACCGGGGTCGGAGGAGGCCATGCAAAGGCCATGCTGAGCCGCGCCACTCTGCAGTCTCACCTTCAAGGCTCACACCGACTCGCACCAGTTTGCCCCACCCAATCAGGGCCGGTACAGGGTCCGCTCGAAGAACCTGCCCCAATGATTTAGCACAATCACTATAAAGGGTCCTACGTCCTACGTCTACCAGGCCGGTTTCAGGGTCGAGGTGGGGAAGCTTTCAAGCGACGTCGAAATACCCAAGTAAGAACATCCTGGCCAATGAGGAAATCGCAGCATCAACGTGATGACCTCTTCAAATCAAGGCTAACTTGACACAGCTCAGCTTGACTATGTTCCCCATCTCGCACATATCTGGCAATCCGCCGCCATGGCCTTTGGCGCGCTTGGAGTTGCTGGGTCACCCACCGAGTTCCGGCGGCCTCTGTTTGACGTGCCAGAGCAGTGGTAGGTCTGAAACTCAACCTTCGAAACCTCGTGGAGGTGGTTTTGACCAGGGTTCCCGGCATCATGAACTTCAAGCGCTCGAAGCCTTCTCGATAGGCCCGCACCTGCCATGACGCCGAAGAAACATGACTTGACACAGTGTGCTGCCCAAAGCACAACCACATGGGGGCGGAGCTGACGAAACAAGGTAAGAACAACATAGAATAACTACATGCTTTGCTTTTGATGTTCATCTACCTGCAACTACTGGTGGCCACTCCCTTTGAGGTTTCTGAGCAAACAAACATACAATTCTTTTGGGTGGCCAAACCTCTTCGGCCTCCCCTTCTTTCTTTGCTCGTGCGTACCTTTCAGATCCTTTCAGATGTGTCCTTCGCTTGAAAACATATATGTATGCAGACTTCAACTCTCACACACTTGTAGAAATGCGTACTGATGTGAATGCAGTGCCACACGCCGGCCTAGGTAACCATTTCCTAAGGGTACAGGTGAAGAGGCCTGAAAAGAAGTGGAGGTCCATCAAGTTCAACATGGCCAGCAAATCTACAGTAAAGGAACCATCGAACGATCGATTGACAGAATGACGTCGTCCGCTCACAGCTGCAAGTCGAAACCAAAGCCCTATGCGTGACTGCAGATGCATTAGCACTTTATCAAATGTTAAAATTGTGCAGGTAAAGGAATGTGCGTCCACATTCCCTTCCGGCTGAATCCCATAGCTTCGTTGGCATGGCTAGGGAAACAGCTGCCATGCCCCCTGCTCAAAAATGAAAACGGAGTCAAAAGTACAATCCAAACGGATCCCTGTGACTACAAGGTGCACACACACACACACACACACGCACACTGTTCCCAGCCCCAGTGGAACGCAACAAAAAACCCAATGCATCCCAAAACCATATTATGGGTCCTCTTTTGCTGTTCGCACCAAAAATCATCCATGATAAAGTCACACCGTACTCAAGAAACAACAATGAGTGTATTGTGTATAAAGAAAATGATAATTCCGACATATAAATGCATCAACCAACAACAGAAATGCATTTCCACCAAGCTAGGGTCTGGAGCATCACACCAAGTTTCCTTCTAATTTAGGTACAAGAAGAGTTCCCACATTCACCAATCATGCGATTTATCTAAGCCCAATCCGTTCCGTTTTTGGCATGCGTCTCCCACAACTCTCATCACTCGTGCCGACCCCTTGGCCAGTTGGTACGAAGGATCGCGAGCAAAAGCTGCCCATGAAAATGTAGGCGGTGGGCCTCACAAGCCAAAATCAAGGGGCTCATGTGTGGCAAGTCCATTAAAACAACATATGTGTTTTTGGTCCCTGATCTACGCTTACATGAGTTGTCTATTCTTGCGTTGATTCTGGGCTATACAGTTTTGGGGTGCATACACGATAGCCTACGCAGGGATAACGTTTCTGCAA